GAAAAGACGAACTGAATATCCTGTAGAGTACTCTCGAAATACCAATCAGAATAAAACTATTTTTATAATATTATATATATTGTATTATTATTACCTAGAGTAAAGTTATTTCGGTGTAAATTATAAGAAAAGACAGAAGATGACTGCAAAGAAGAAAAATGTTTCTTTTTTTGACGAAATCATTCTCATTAGCTTAACATCCCTGAATATATATATAAAGACAGAACATTCCAGAGTAATCTCTGGTCAAACGTGAATACAAATTGCATGACAGAGGAAAATAACGTGATATCAATGGGAGTTTAAAATGAAATAAACGAAATGATTATAAATTGAGAAAAATAGTTACGTTATAAAGTAATTATCTAGGGTGGTCCATCCTCTACGATGGCCATGGCAAAGAAAGAGGTTGTACACACATTTTTTGAACGAATAATGAAGGTATGAACTTTTGAATCGCGAATGCTTCAGCTATGCCTAGATGTCTTAACCTTATTCCTATCAACTGGCATGGTTGGACCCTTTTAAAATGTTTGAAGGACTTATCAAAAGTAGCTATATGTTCTGAGTTTATTAAGTGTTCTGTTTCAGAGGTGATGATGCATTTCCATGCTCTTCTTGTCAACCAGGTTGAGTAGTATTCGCGAGCATGCTGTATAAGCTGGTGTGATATAATTATATGATTTGATTTTAAGCTGACTGATTTCAGCTAACAAGACATAAAGTGTCATTTTGATCGTTGTTATGTATGATATTGCCGCCTATCTCGAGATTTGTTAATCCACCCATAACTCTTGATGAACATATGATTCAAGGTAGATTTCCATAAGTTGCAATGACCTGTAGGGTCTGTCAACCAAGTCATGTGTTAGGACGGATACTCGGCAGTAGTACTGAACGATGATCACGCTATCTCACGACTTGATAGAAGTTGGGAAATCATGACCGCTAGGTTCTAACTCAGTGACTAAATGGTAAGTAATAAACTAACCATGAAATGTGACGGCCCAGGTTGCGGTCCCTTTTAGGGTGGTAGGTATGTCTTAATAAAGAGTTCCATACAAGGATAAAACAGGTTCTAAATGGTTCCGCAAGTGATGTCTAGGAAGGTAAATCCAGCTGACGAGTCCCAAATAGGACGAAATGCGCATCCTGGATTCGACGGCTAGTCTCTGTCCCTCTTACTATGAGTTCCATCTGTTATAAAAACTAATTTCAAACAAACAGAGCCCTGACAACCACTAATCGAATAAAATAGAGCAATCTGATTGGTTATTTTAATTGTTGCTAAGTTAGCCTTAGAGTCACTCGTTTAGACTGTGGGAGACTTTACAGGCCACACTAACAACTGCTGAAATGACCAATTAGGCTTCAGTATTTCGCTTGAGAAAGTTGTTTTCCATAAAATACGAGAACGTAATTGGCTATCTCATTAGTTGATACGGTGGCCTTTAAAGTCATCAGAAAAGTAATTTGTTGTGGTGTCAGTTGCCGGCTTGCCTTTAAAGTGGCTCGGAGGGCCCCCCTGGCAACAGCTCAATATCAGTCCCACTTCTGCATTCCGGCTAGAAAGGGAGTTTTTCTATGAAATAGAAGTTTTATTGGTCAGCTTAGCAGTTGCTAGGGTGACCTTAGAACCGCTGCAATACCTGAAAAACTAGGTTACTGCAGCGTCACTGCTATGTAGGCGAAATTAACAACCAATCAAATGTGAACAACCTTAATTTTGTAATCTATCTTTCCTATTGGTTCATAAAATTAATTAGATCCTCCAGTCGCTTTAATGAAAATGTGGGTTTTCTTTATTCATATTTTGGTGACTACACTACACCAGACTATGCGTGGGCTTGGCCACCCTAGCAACGAATCAAATGACATTATGTTTCTCCATTTCGGATCGAAAGACAGATTTTCTAAAATAGAAACGTTTGATTGGCTGTTTCAAGTGTTGCTAAGGTGGCCTTCAGAGTCATTCCACGCTTACCACAATTGTGACATCGTGAATGATTTTAGAGGCCACTCTAGCAACTGATAGAGTAACCAATTAGATTTCAGAATCCCAGAAAAGGGGAACGTAATTGGTTATCTCAGCAGGTGTAAGGGTGGTCTTTAAAGTCACTCATGATGTCACACTGTGTTAAGCGTGGTATGCGGACTAAAATGTGGGGTTGACTCTAAATGCCACCTTAGCAACAGTCTAGGCTGTAGTGTAAACAAGGCTTATAATCCAAATAATAATGATAAGAATAATTAATACCCTCAAATGCATTGCTTCCGTGGGGAAAACCGTCGAATCAATCCCCCAAAAACAGCCAATTAGGTTTCTTTATTTCCGTTTCAAAGACAGACATAAAATCAGCCAGACAAACAGTCAAAAGGTAAGTTAAAAGCGCATAAGTAAGTAAAACTCAAGAAATATAGAGAAAGTGGTAATCGAATAGAAAGAGTAGGTGGGTACTGTGATTGTATTGCAAATACAGCTTGTTGTAGAGTGACTCAAAAGAGGCCATCTTAACAACTGCTGAGATAACCAATTATGTCTTTTTATTTTATGAAAATCTACCTGTTTGGTTATTTCAGTGGTCGCTAGGGGAGATTTTAGAGTTATTCCAATAATTGATGAGCCAGTGATTATTGGTAGGCAAGTACTGGACACTAGTTCCTTTAACATGCGATATCGGATTCTGAGGCCTTAAAGTTGGTTGCTACTTAGTCAGTTTATCAAATCCATTGTTCATTACTTTTTTCTGAACTCAGTTGTTCCATAGTGTTATGAACACATTACAAAGCTCATTAGTTGATCATTACGCCTACATCTTAGTCAATTAACGCTTACACAGCCTCCCATCATCGTTTTGTAGGGAAACCAGTGTTGTATTGTCAACATCTCGATGATGTGGGCGTATTGTCAGTCAGGTCTGTAAATTTGCCACAGAGGACATCACTTCCCTCGAGGTTGCAGGTACGCCTTGCTGAAGAGTCCCAACAAGCATTAAACCTAGGTCCAGAGCTTCCTGTCGATTGCCTACAACTAGCTAACATCCCTCATAGTGCACAGGGATGGTGACTCTCCCAGCCTATGACCACATTGCAAAATGATCGATAGAATTCGGTAGCCAATCAGGACTAAATGATATGAGATTGGTTGCTCTCCAATGGTTAGTCAGTATAAAATGATACTGTTTTCTGGTATACAGTATCTGATGTTGGACAGCTGGAGAAGGTTCACTGGATCCCCTAAATCTACTAGAATTTCTGCCTGTTTACAATAATAATCCAGAAGGAGTATCGGAACCTAAAGAGGATTGGTATCCTCTCACGGATCCAAACTTATATCATCCATTTTAGTAGTCAGTGTCAACAAACCTTATAGAAAGTTAGACGGCGATTCCTGTCGATTGATTTCAACCACCTAACAGAAAACACGATGGACTGCTGTGTAAACTCACTCAACCTAGTCAGAGAAATTCTACTACCAACGAGAACTGGACGAAACAACACTGGTTAGTCTGCATCAGCAGATCAAACTACACGGTATAATCCACAAGAGAAAGACAGAGAGGAAGTTTCGCAATCCAAGGAGCGTATTGGTGACATTTGCTCCAAACAGCCGTCTCCTCCTAGTGATTTTTTGTCTTCACTTCTTTTGGTTAGCGTGGTAACACAAATTAATGTAATAAATAGCCACTTATCACAGTTTCAAACACCCCTCATTGATGTTAAACTTTCCATGTGAGCGAATAAAGATCAATATAGTTTGTACAGCTAATCTGTACATAATCATCTGAAGTGACTGTTATAGTGACAAATTAATTGATAGCTGAAAAATACATGACTAAAATACTGGCATATGATTTTCTGATCACCTCATCGTCTGAATATAGATGTAATTATCTATGAGTGACTTTAAAGACCACCGTCGCAACAGCTGGTATAACCAATACGTTCTCTTTATTCTATAAGAATCTCCTTTTCTAGCCGGAATACCTGATTAGTCACTTCATGAGTTTCTAGGGTGGCCTTTAAAGTCAGCCTTATCAATGCCTTGCTTATGCCCATGACACAACTATGTTGAACACAAGATGAGTCATCCTCCTCAAACCTGTAACTATCATTCATCCACCCAACCAGCCTCTTCATCTCAATATATAGTAGAAGACAAAGATCAATGACTCACTAGTCTTATATCCTATGCCATCTGACTCATACAATATACACTATTTAGATCACAGAAAAGACAAACTGATATCATACATAGAAATCGGTTTCACGTGAGAGGCGTTAATTTCGCAACGATGAATCGTGCAGGTATTGGATGAGTCAACTGAAAGCTTTTGAGATGAGCAGAATGTTTTTAAAGCTAATAATAATAATAACGATAGCAATAATAATAATAATACGGAGGTTAATACTTGTCTAAACTTCCTATTTTGATTTCCTCGATCGATTTTAACACTAGCAGGATCCTGACACTAAGCACTGAGCACAAATAAACAAGGTATATTTTGGTCATGAGTTAAGGAATGCATAATGTTGCACTGGTTAGTACACTACCAACAAGCAGGTGGATTCAGGCTGCTAAATGGTATAGTATATCTTTCTGAATTTACTGTGCTTAACAGTAGAGGTCGAACAGTTCGATCCAATAAAACAACGCTCACTGGGGTGCAGGTAAATCCAGCTGATGTGTCGCGAATAGGAAGAAACGTGCTTTCTGGATTCATCTGCTAGTCACAATCAACCAAAACAGCATAATTCACATTTAGGCAATATCGAGGCGTCCGCATAGGAGCCCATATACCAACAGACGTCGAACGGTTCGATCCAGTAAAACAACAGAGAATCACAAGTGCGTCAATAAATAGCAAGTATTACTATTACCACTATTGCTATTATTAGTATTATTTAAACGACTGGTTCTGAGTACAGTCTATCAGTGTGATTTTCTTGAGTCTAGTGGTTATATTATTGAACTATACAGTTATAAAAAGATATTTCGGTTACTTGAAATAATTATTTATGTTTATAAGATATAAAGGGGAACTTTTTATAATATCATAATGAAACGAATAATAAACACGATCATATTATTGTTTATTCGAAGATACACAACAAATATATGAACTACTATAAGTCATCTAAGTCAATGTCACATTTTAAATTTAACTGAAACTCTGACATCAGTTCTTTGGAGACTGAATTCAACTGACAGTTTGATGACGCTAAAAATAAAATCATGAACGTCAAAAATTTTTTATAGCAGTTATACTACTAATAAGTAGTTCAAATTTCTTAGTAAACTTTTACAGGAATTTAATCAAACGTCAGTTGATTTCGAAGTAGTATTCATCATGGACTGACATCAGTTGGGGAACCATTGAAAATCTGTGAGCACTGGACAGTTGATTTCGTTAATTTTCTCATTAATGTAGATTTTTGATTAACAAAACGGATGTGAAACAATTCAACATCTGTTTTCCATCTCAGGTAATACACCTATATCTCATATTCCTTCTCTTTGAACAATGTGACTACGCGATGGTTCATTTAGAAGTGGAAGAACAATGCAGCTTGGTCAGGAAACTGTTCTCTTTTTTCAGATAATACTCTATATAGCCTGTTTATCTATTAAGTGGAGCTCACAACTCATTGTGTCAGCTGGCGACACTAAATTTAGCTCATTAATCATTCTCACTTTCATGAGGCTAGAGTGAAGTGGGGGGGGGGTGAGGGGGAAGGAAATTTATTACGTTTACCTCACCTTAAAAGTGAATATATACGGCTATGTGTATGAAACCCATTCTTTATTGTAAATACAGTTCAATTAGATAGGCTAAACAACAAACAAGGGAATTACGTGACTTAAAGTAGTAATTAGTTAATCACATAGCCATAATGGTAAAAATATGACTAAGTTTACGCTGGCTGACAATTAGACTGACATCAACTAAGATGGTGTCATCTTTCATCAGCTTCATCCAGTCTGAATAAATAGCTAGTTTGGGCATTTTTGCAGAGATTTATTTATTCCAAGTTGGTATTCATCATGGACTGACATCAGTTGCAGAAACACTGGGAATCTGGGAGCACTGGAGAGCCGTTCCGTCCTAGTATCGGATTTCTCAGCAGTGCACATCCACGACCCCGTCCCAATGGGGGACGAACCCAGGACCTTCAGGTTCCGCACCCAGCACGTTGGCATTGAGCTACCGAGACGAAGTCCGACGGTCTGTATTTCCTACTTCTGTCAGCTCACGATATAGCGTGACCTTCAACCAGTATCATCGTTCAGTATATGTCCTTAAGTTCACTCGGTTTGCCTCAAAACTTCTCATTGGAACTTCAGAAATCACCCCTTGAAGCCAATCACCAATTAACTGGCCACAGCACCTGAAGGACCCGGGTTCGAGCCCTGGTAGGGTCATGGATGCCCAGGTTTCCGATTTTTCTTCAACTGATGTCAGTCCATGATGAATACCAACTTGAAATAGTTAGTTGTTGTGAAACATTTCCACTTACTTTATTCGCGTGCCAGTTTGCGATTTCGCTGATCAGAAAAACTGAGATTTTACAAGCCAAAGGAAGGCAGAACAAACACAATTTTCAAAATCAACTGCAGACATTATCCACTACATCGTGTTGATAAGTCTGGCTGTTAGATTGATCGAGGAAATTATGAACACCAACCAACAACAAAGTGAAATGAAGTAGCGTCTTAGCTCTTGATGGACGCAGACAATCACAATCAGGAATTCAGCAAGGAGAATGTGGAAGTACTCCAAAGAACAAATTTAAAAGCTTTCAGAGAATACCTAGAAGCATGATATTCTGATGAAAAATTAGTCAACAGAGGTGTGGATATTGACCATATCCATAATCCACTTAGGAGGGAAACAGCCATCCATCAATAAAGGACAAATTGACCCAACAAACCAACAATAAAGCATGATGAGACAGTAACAAATAACACAATCTGACTCTAACAAAGATCCTCTACCAACGTGATTGAGTGAAATATAAAGTGAAAGGCGTCAAGGTGTGATAGAAATATCTTCTCCAACTTGTTATTGGAGCCAATGGAAACACTAACTGAACTTTTGTGTAATATTTAAATATGCTTCACTTCTTTGTAAAGTTAGTTCTGAGGATTTCACTCAGCCTGGTGATGAACTGACCACGACAACATATATTAAAGCTTAGAGAACACCAAACTGCCATCACGATCTAATATCTGATTATCCTTCTTTTAAATTCTGTTGAAACTTCATGCATTCATGATTGATTGATTGATTTAGGTCATATGCAGCAGTTGAAATAAAGTAACAAAAGCTTTATATGCATAAAGTGACAGGAGTAACTTCAACTTTACACTCCACGGTATGTACTCACTGCCTACCTAATGACCTTGAAACCATCGATCGTTGGTTGATTATTTACTATCTGATGAATAGTTAAAAAGATTCTTTTTCAAATATTTTGTGTATTATTACTGAGAGCTTATATTATTATGCGCGAATGCGCATACAAAATCTTGGTTAATTTATCAGCTAGCAGTGCTATTGTCTGATTTCAGGTTGTTATTCATCATGGACTGACATTAATTGGATAACTGTTGAAAACCTATGACCACTGGACAGCTGTTTCGTCCTAGAATGAGACTCCTCAGTAGTGTCCACCCATGACTCCACACTGCTAGGAGTCGAGCCGAGGACCTTCAGGTCTCCACGGCCAGCATATTACTATTGGTCCGTGGCTTGGAATCCAGTTGTCTATATTTCCTACTTCTATCAGTTCACGATATAGCGCGATCTTTATCCAATACTGTCGTTAAGTAACCATCTTCATGTCGGCTCCACCAGTCACGACTTCTCATCAGAACTTCAGGAACCTCGTCTCAAAACAAGTCACTAATGAGCACCAAAGTTTTTCTGATTAGCGTATGAATAAAGAAAGATAATAAAAGTCACAACTGTTAGAAAATGGATGTTTGATAGCTTTGGTCTCAGGTTTATTATATGCAGTATATAAACTAAAGTCAGTTAAGAAGAAACTCTACCCTTGATTTCATCGCTTTTTACTACTTATCAGCTGTTAAGTGTATTTGTCCCCTAGGGAAATCCGAACTTGATTACTTCAATGATGAAGTCAAAGATTTCACCATGACTGGTGTTGTGTAGAGTTGGACTACATATACAAACTGATCATCGAAAAGAATATGCGAATTTCTACGCCGACCTTCCACTTCACCCGATTCTGGATATGTTTGGATCACCCTATCATTCAACCAATCGCTAAATGGTTAGCTTTTTTCCCTTCGGGAAACCTTTGAATTTATCGATTGTATAAAAAATATTAATGTTTCTCACAAGTGTATGATATCTCTCAAAGTCGAATCATTCTTCACTAGTGTTCCATCTTATGAAAAGTATTTGTTTTATATATAACTATATAGATGATAACCTGAACATTGGGATACTAACTGTTCATATGATGGAATCGCTATTAAAATGTACAATTCATTTTCAATGACAGAAAGACAGAATTGCCATGAGATTCCCCCTTGAGGTCATTAATGGTAGGTTACTTCATGAGAAGTTTGAAATCAACAATCAACGATTCTCTGTTGTACAAAAGGTATGTCGACGATATTTTCAGTATTTGTGATGATATATATGACTTGAATGATGTTTTGCATATGTCTAATAGCTGCCATCCGACGATAAAATTCACCATCGACGTGGATGTCCTATTTTGATGTAGACCTAACAAGACAAACTGATGGAAATCTGAGGATGTCAATTCATAGAAACCACAGATAGAATGAGCAACGGACAGATTTCTACAGATATATGCCCATTGGTCAGAAGAGAAATTTACATATATCTCTTGCTACTCTTTGTGAAAGGATAGACATTCCAAGAGAAAATTTGATGGAAAACAGTTGAAAACATCAAACTGACATCCCAAAACATGATTCATTTTCCGTGTCGAAAAAGATGTAATGTACGAACCTTGAATTCAAGGGTGACTTAGTTTCTGACATCCTAAAGAAAAGGATTTCAAGTTCCCTGAAGAGAACTTTCTTTGTAGCAACTCTCAGAGTAGTATTTTCTAGTTGCTTTTTACCTAGATAAAACCATAAAGACACGATATTACATCTGGCCACCTCTGCCTGTGCATATCAGTTCATCTGCTCCTATGGAGCCGGGTATATGGGTCGTTCAACGCGAGTCTGTCCTAAAAGGGTTCAAGAACACCATCCTGCGTGGCTACAAAGGGGGAAGTGGGTCTATAAGAAGTGAGGCAATAGAACACTATATCGGCAGTGATCATTCAACCCTAACAACCACCTCTTCAAAGCTATTTGAAAGGTGGAAAGCAAACTTGCTAAAAAGAGAGTGTGCATCCGCTATCCTTGTATTTCTGAAACATTAGCAATTCGAATAGAAAAGCGGAACCTCTGCATGCAGAAGTGACTTGTTCAGCCTTTTCACCTTTCATGGTCTTAACCTTTAGTTTTTCAAGCATTCCTCCCCCTCTTTATAACCTTTGCATTCAATTCACTTCTTGTATATCATCAAGTATTGCTTGTTTGTATATCCCCCCTGATAACAATACATTCAGTAAATATGTTGTCATATCACTCAACTCTTTACTCAAACCTAATCACCTTTTATATTAATGATGGGTAGTGGCTACCACTGGAATCCAGGAAGTGTGTTTCGTCCCATATGGGATTCGTCAGCTGGATGTACGTGTCTCCCAGAGGACTGTGTTGCTCCCACTGGGACTCTGACCCGGGACCTATCATCTTGCTTGTCACCATGCCTAACTAACTGTTTTCATACATGAAACAAATTGTTCATTCTCATCAAAAGTTGTATGTAAATGCGATTGTACAACTGAGTGAGTGAAATAGCTGAAAAGAGTCTTTTCACCGAACCACTTGTTTTTATTTCCTAGTATTATGAACACTGGTGATTCAACTAAATCTTGCAACAGGTAGTTTTTTTGCCAACGCACTTTCTTATTCCTATCACCAAATCATACTGCAGACAGTGAGTAACTACTCAAATGCTGCATAGTGGTCATTAGTGACAGGCTTCGAGATGGATATCTAGAAGTTCTAACGAGAAGCCGTGACCGGTTGGAAGTGAAGTGGATATTAACTGAAGACTTTTGTGGATATTCATGCTGTATCGCGTATCAACAGAAGTAAGAAACTGTGGAAAATTAGACTCTGACTTGGTGGCTGGATGGTTAACGCATTCGCTGTGAGACCTGGTGGTCGTAGATCCTACCTTTGTACTAGAGGTGGCTGTTGTCACCAAGTAGCCCAGTGAATAATGCGGTGGGACTCAAGATGATGGTGTGTTGCGTTCAAGTCTCAATGGGGTACACCATCACTAGCTGGTATGCAGTCACATAAATAACTGACTAGTCCCGAAGTGAATAAAGCTTGCGTGCTGGATACCACTGTTAACAAGCAAATAAATTGCACTGATGGAAAATGTTTGTTACTTTCTTTGCAATACCATAGGTAAAACACTTCGGAACTTTCCTCACGTTTAGATTTGTTGTAGTGAGAAAATAGGAATCACCATTCCAGAGTGAACTGACGATGACAATAGATACGTCTTACTGTCCAGGAATTCAGATTGAAAGAGTTAGCGGTTAGCTTTTTAGACTGAAAGTCGGGAACTAAATTAGAAAGCACAAGGCGATCAGCAAGCAGGTAGTGTTTTCAACATTTGGAACTGGATAAGTGTGGTTTTCAAAATCTTCCAGCTTTATACCGATGAACTTCGACTATTACAACTATCTTTAAACAGTGAATAAACTTACTAAATTTATCATCGTGTTGACTGCATTTCAACAGATTCTCTGCTGCACAATTCTCAATTGGCATAGGATTTTGTGAACACGAACCTTTCACATAGAAGTTATTACCTTCATGATCCATTTGTTGAACTATCTCTATGTGACAATCATCCTCTTGACGATGATCTTGCAGTCCCAATACATTTGTTCGTTTCATTTCAACTAATCGTTTAAACACTCTGTAACCTAATTCAGTACTAAACGGATAAAAAGATGTATTGTTGTCTGGTTCATTTGTCTTGGATCGATAACCATCTGGCGGTAAAACACTTGGACGCCACCATTCTCCTTCGGAAATATTTTTATGTGATTGCATTTTCTGTCAATAAAAATAGTAATATATGTATATAAGCATAAACCAGTTAGTACTGAGTAGAGAATTATTGAAGAGAAAAATTTATTGAATGGCTAAATGATGTCACTTCTTGACGAAAACAGTCAGTTTCCCTACGAAACAACAGAGTAATAATTGAGTACGCCTTAGTGACTAGTTTTAAGATGAACTCCAGAAAGTTTTATTACGAAGCCTTGAGATCTATACATATGGGTCATCGAAGTTGGAAGAAGAGATGCATAACCACCGATTTTATTAAATAACGATGATGTCAATATACTAGTTAACTGAGTGAAGTTGGAGAATGGAAATCAATGGCAACTACGAAGAAAGTACTCACTTCAAGACCAGATAGACAGACAGACAAAATCAACATAAAAGCTGGCACACGATTACGTCGGTTCAAGTTGCCACACTTCACAGTATTATACAAAAGACAAATGGATAGAAAGAGAGTTGTGTGAGAGAATGGATAATTTGAAGATAACGGTTAGTGCAGATATTCAAGCTTTAGAAGGCGTCAGTGAATAAATACATCCACACCATTGTGACTGACTTTCAGCCATGTCAATAACAGTCCTCAACTGCTAATTCCTATTGTCTCAGTGACCCGACCCAGGTAGTATGAACCTCGTTACACGGCTCAAGCCGAGTCAGAGACTTCATCGACTGGTGGCAAGTCTTTGTCTGCCCACCCTGAATCCTCTTCCAACCTAATCCAGCTTCTCTTAGCACAGTACGCCGAAACCTGAACATTACTGCATGTTTGAGTACTGCTGAGACGTGATAAACTAGGATAAAGCAGTTCTTACGATAAGTTAGTGGTGGCCTTCTAGATGATGCCAATCAGTTACGAAATCCCTCCTGATACCAGTCAGTTTCAAACTGACCATTTAACTACAAAATAAGTTGATGTTTGACAGAGTATTTTCTCATTCTATACTAATTCCTTAAAGGAGTAGGATGTAATTACTTCGTTTTACGTAGGAATTCATGTGTAATATTGTGTTGTTTTTTCAATGATCCAACAGTGAGAAGTCAGTATTGTGCTGTAAAATGGCGAAAAAGATTATTTTCTTCATCTTAACTCGCTGAAAATTTTTCAATTTATTATTTATCGTTAAACAAATTTAAATTATACGGTTTATTTGGAACATAAACTTCGTACAGCATTGAACACCAAGAGATGCGCCATTCAAATCCTTTAGCAGAATGAAAAGAAAAATAACTGTCAAAGGCGTAAGTAGCCATTTAAGTTAACACAAATTCAAAGCTGGTACATAACCTTTGGAATTCAAACAGAATGGTGGTCAAGACGGACTGATTAGTTTCTTCCGTTTAAAATCTGAAAGAGCTGATGAACTGCTTTGTCCTCGTTTAGGAACGACAGTTCAATCAACTGGTAATCACGTTCTAATGCTCAAGGGTTAAGGTAAACTGACTATTTTTAAGATTATACAGGTATCATTATTTCATAGGCTAAAAAAATTCGGCAGGGAGAATAATACTGATAGCTTGTAACTGTAACCGTTTTTCTGTTAAACCATAGCTATCTCAGATAGTCCTATCAAAACTCTTTCAATTGCTTTAAACTCCAAAAGAATAACCTTAGATTTCCCAAAACTGGGCAATGTCCCAGAGTACTCTGATATCAACAAAAGTAAACAAAGTAACTATCCTGTACCGCTATGTGTTGATTGTCTGTTAACCAAGTTTTAATCATCACCTTCGTATGATGGTGTTTATGCGAAATAAAACGATAAAAACTGGTGTTCAGTATCCAAAGAATCCACTAAAAGTTGTAAAATAATGATTGTAAACGAACAATGCATATGTGTCTTAGAATCTTGAAGCTATTCCAGACATTGGAAAATATGGTAATTCAAATTCTTATGTTGATCTACTGCTGTGAATGAAACTCTTGGTAGTGTTCCTCATTGGCTTCAGTTTGAACTTCTATGTGATTTCTTAATTCCTACAAAGATTATACTATAAGTCTATAGTAGCGACTACAAAGCCCCTACCCATATATGTGCTAATTATCAAACATACTCCACACCACATAAGAATACGCGGACAGTTACTCGACGACGGCATTGGATAAAGATCGCGCTATATCGTGAACTGAAAGAAGTAGGAAATATAGACAACTGGGTTCCAAGCCACTGGATCAACATTAACGTGCTGGCCGTGGAGACCTGAAGGTCCTCGGCTCGACTCCTAGCGGTGAGGAGTCATGGGTGGACACTACTGAGGAGTCTCATTCTAGGACGAAACAGCTGTCCAGTGGTCATAGGTTTTCAACAGTTATCCAATTAATGTCAGCCCATGATGAATACCAACTTGAAATCGATGCTGAATTATTTGTCTTTCCAGCTACATATGAACTGGATTTTTTGTTTTATCCAACTACTCACGATAGCTAGACGTTATTAATTACATATACCATTTTAGTTCCTAATTAGTTGGTGTTCTTCAGTGCAATACCTGATTCAACCATTATGAAACCACAAACATCACATTTAAAGGTGTTTCAAATAACGGGTACGGTGGTATTCTATGGCTCTTCAACCAAAGTCTACCTAAGGATTGCGGAGCTAAGTGGTGATGATACTTACGAGAAAATGGAAACAGAATCCGAATTCGGAACTAGCTGGCAGATGTTTCATTTCATCTAAGTCACCAAAAGCAAGAAACTTGATGAAGATGGAGTGGTACAAAAGATATATGATATGTCGATCAGTTATGTTTAAAAACATCATGGATACTGTATGAATCACTTTGAGCAGTTTAGCTGGCGTACTGAATCAGAATTGCCAACCTCAGTCAGTGTCTCGTGACCCATAGTCCATTAAAAGCGAACAGCTTGATGAAGTGAATATATGATAGAAACCCCAAAAGATAAACTGCTATACCCCACACGATATGAATGACTTATTCTTGTCTCTTTTCAAAAATGGAGACGAAACTCTGGTCAAGATGACCATATTATTTAAGAAGGTATAGCAGACTGGGTTTGTTACGCCTACCCAAAAGTAGGTCCTTATCTTTGAAAACAGAGTACTTAGAGCGTGTTCAAGTTACCGTAGCATAAACCTATTGTCGATCGAATCTTAGATATTAACTGCTATTTTATTACTTATACACAGATTAGGTGAAATATGAATAAAAAGCTAGGTTGTGTAGACGAATCGACTAACTAAATGTCTGCTGCACGCCTAAACACCAACACACTGATTGCCCATCAGTTATCGGTATACTTCACAGCACTTGAGCTATATTCGGTTATAAGATAGAACTATCATCTGGGGTTATCTGTTAAGGAAGGGTTCCGCTGAGAAGTGTATTAAAATCTCGGAAGCCCTATACAACAGATATGACGCACAACCACTGCACATGATTATTGTTAACTAGCAGTAAGATTAGACAAGGTTGACAGATTCCACCATTCCTTTTCAGCTTTATCGTCAATGTGTGTGTGTGTGTGTGTCACACCAAGTTCTAAAGCCGAAGCTGCACTAGCCGACTGGATTCCCACTAGCAATAACAAGTAATTGTTTAGGTTAGATTACAGTAAGAAGTAACTGACAAGAAACAATACCTCCTCATCTCTGCACAAGCTTTGATGGACTGGAGTACGTAATTAGTTAGAAATGAGTTCTACCATCTACTGATTTATCTTCTTTAACAAGTTCATTCGATAGGTATTATGATGCTAGCCAGGAACTGGAACGAGTAGACCAGGTGTCTAAGTTCAGACAGGGCTTGTTTAGGTGGTCACTGGGGATTAGTCGGTTGCAAGTAGGATAGTGAACACTGCCTTCTGAAACTTATTTCTAGCCAGTATCAATCTCCGGCACAAACATAACCCCTGTGCTGCCGCCGTGCATTCTTCCTCTGCCACTCAGGTTTGGATTCAAGTAGATCTCAATACAATTTTCAACTAATGGTATGAGTGTGATCATAACTGCTGCTCTTTCTGGAATAAATGTTTGGACGATAACCACGCTTCGTTGCATGTAAAGTTCATCTGGCATCTTGATGGTCATCAAAATCGTCGTACTAAATAGGTCAGCATTGGTAAACTGATTGGTTTTAGTACTTTAACTAAATATCGAGTAGAGGTAAATCTCAGGCTAGCTGTCGAACCTCCAGAAAGTATGAGCTTTGGTCACACCTATAAAGTGCTATAAAAAGGTGAGTAAGGCTGTTTCTCATTTCGAAGAACTTCCCACTAATGAACTAAGGATCTCTCTCTGTTTATTCTGACTTTTTGACTCTCATCCGTCCATCATATTAGCGAGTGAAATTGTGTGTACGAGTACCTCACGCAACAGTTCAAATAGTATTTATGTAAGAGGTGTAAGACTTGGTGGTCAGAACATGAGAGTGGGAAGGAATCAGCAGGTGAATCTGACAACTGTCGGAAGCACCTCCAGGTAATCTGAGCCAACAGCAATAAGATGTCTAGTGTTAGCGAGACGACCAGTGAAATATGTGGTACACCAATCTCTGCAGATACTTAAAACGCTGGATGGAGCAGTTTAGGGGGATTATTTCCCTTCAAAATCGGCTTCAGTGTCTTGTACTTTACAGGTTTGAGATTGACCCGCTTGGCGAAACAGAAGACCACAAGGAACTCAAGTTTCTAAAGTGCTATAAGGTATCCAGACAATAAAACCAACCCCTAACTCTTTTTAAAAATGGGATTGCAGTCAGGGAAATGACTACATTGTTTGGGAACGTATAGCATACTGAGTGTTCCATCATTCAAGAATGAAGGCAATAGTGTACCCATCTTTAACAAATGTTTGCTTAATGTATGCGATAATCATCGCAACTAATCAGTTGGCAACCGGTATCCGTAAGCATGATATTTACTTTATGTTACCAAAGTGGGAACTACTTTAGCAAGTGACAGTTACCTACACTTGTATTCACCCTCAGTGGCGTACCGTCGGAAAGCTAGTAAAGTGGATGCAATCACGTAATCGGCAGCGCTGAAAAAGATGTAATATAAAAAATTTCACATCACGTAGCGGAAGACAGAGGCTTTATACATAAATCCGCGTCATTCCTAGAGCCATTTTAATAGGTTTCAATGTATGTAGTTAGATAACACTTCAGTGAAAACGGTTTCATTCTCTTCTTATAGGACCTGATCTTTCCCAGCTGAATACATTCACCGACTTGTATTCCACCGTCACCGTCTATACAGGGTTGCTCGTGTTAGGTCATGATTAGTAACCAATAGTAACTTTGAGGTTCCACAGGTTGTGTTTCGGCGTGGTGGACATCATTATTCAACCAAGAGGTATCCTACTCGACAATTTTCCTAAGATTGAATGTACTTGTGCATGCAGACACAGAGGTCACTGTTTTTTGGAGTGAGCAATGTTGATGTCAAGCGAGGGATACTAGGCAAGTCGATCGAAGAGGTTGTGAACCTTCATTGACTGAGATGACTTGGGCATGTACAGTACATGTCAAGTGACTGCCTACCTCGACGTGCCATGCTAAGATAAACTGGATTAGTTTAGAATAGAGTTCAGGGTGGCCAGGCTATGATGCAACACCAGTGCATGCAGTCTCTGATTCTTGGTCTGAGCCATGTGGGGCCATGTAGACTACCTGGCTCCAATCCCCGAGATGATACGAATCGGTGGTTGACAACTCTTAGTGACATGGATGAAAATCGGTCACAGTGGCGCAGACACATTCGCTCTTTGACGTCATCTAAGGCTAAAATACTTGCACTAACCTTTATCCTAAAATTATGATTATTTTACCTGTTATTATGATGACATAAAGGCTACATCTTATTTTGCAAATGGTAGGACAATAATACTTGAAAATTTGTAGGTAGTATGGAGTTTGAAAATGGATTTAAGAATATATAAACAGTGATAGATCATCTATCTTAATGACTCCGAATAGACTGTTAAATCTGTTGATGCTACGGCTTGTAGTTCTCCGTCGTTGACTGGATCAAATTGATTGGTGGCTATCGGCATATGTGTTCAGTAACCTATTGAATAGTGCTCTGGAGTTTGAAGCGATGGGTTTCAGCCAAAGTGGGAACAGCATGACTCACAGCAACGTAAGTACATCCAGCTGATGAGCCCAAAGTAGAACGAAACACTGGACCTGGATTCTGTTACTACCCATTATCCTCCACTAGTTGTTAAATTCACCATAATCAAGTTATTGGTTTATATTCGAAAGAGATGTTGCAAGTGTTGAGTAAAATGAACTAATTACTGCTTTCCTTATAAAATTGTTAAGCGGAAACGATTCTTGCTTACTAAACGGCTAGAGAAAGTGATTGTACGCCTGGACTATGAGATTTAAGAAATATAAAACGGTTGTCTTCAGATGACTAGTGGATTTCAACAGCAGTCACTATACATACACATAAATATGTAAGGAAGTGCCGTAAATAAGCCAATTACTGCAGTGATTGTTCGTAGTAAAACTTTTGTGGTGTTTCTGCAACATCTGTGACCTCAATCTGAAACGCGTAAAGCATATGTCAACTGGTGACATCATCTAAATCTGGTTAGTGAACACTACTGACTAGCATTGAGACGTCCTACAACTATTTGTTTCAGCTATTACTATGAATAAAGTAAGACTTTCTGCACTCAAAAAGTCTGGTACACAATTTGATACATAATTGTCAACAAACAACTGTGTTTCCTAAAAGAACTCATGAATTTAACGACAAACTTTATCATCGAATATCAGCCAGTTAGCGGAAATCAAACAAAACTGAATAACTATTTCATATTAAATTTAGGCCTTTTACCGAGACAAAGACAGAATATTAAGTTCTTCTGACGAATACATTGCCAGTTATCACTATTAGAACAAAATGCAGCTACATTGAGAGGGAGTTGCTGAACTCATCTACTTTAATGATCATCATAGTCTGTAAAAAGGGAGAGGTCTGGTGAAAACGATAGGGGAATTAGTTTGATTAATGCTGTGTCGAGATCCCCGGGCCCATAGTTATCTGACGCCTAACTGAAGCTTCAGAACAGTAAACTCGAGAAAACCAAGCATATTTCAGATCTGGATGAGGGTGTGTCGATCATATTTTCACCCTACGACAGGTCCTTGAACAAAGGGATACTTACCAGCCAATGGCCGATACTTCCCATATTTCTTGGAATGAACTCTGCACTTGACTCTGTCAAGTGCAAGATATTGTGGCAGTGTCTAACTGTGAAGGGAGTATCAAGCAAGTATTTAATGGTTATCAAAGATCTCTACTCTAACTTCCACAGCCATGTAAGAGCTTATACAGAGTTATCATGTGAGTTGACGATAACTAGTGGTGTTCGTTAGGGATACCCAGTCACCGTTCCTATTTAATTTCACTATACATGTACGCATAAAAATAACCCTAGGTACGTCTAACTTCACACGAATTGATCTATTCGTCAGAAGACATCTGGTTGACTTGGATTATGCTGAGTGAAGATGCCGAAAAAACGCAGGTTCTTCTGAACGCGTTGAGCAGAAATCTGAGTATGTTTGGTACGCGTTTCGCACCTGTGAAATGTAAGATGCTCCAGGATTGATCTGCAACTGCTCCTAGTGTAAGGATACAGAGTGAAAGGGTGGAATGTGTCGAACACTCACTTACTTGGGGAGTTACATCAGCCCAAACGGGCTGCTTGCTGACAAAATATCAGCTCGATACACAAGGCCTGTTCGGCACTTGTGAAATAGTATCATCGCTGGCGCCAACTGGCGGGAAACCCATGTATCAAGGGACGAGTTTACTACGCTGTAGTCTGTTATATCCTGCTATACCGCTGTGAGACATAGTCGTTAAAAGTAGAAGACATGAAGTGGTAACAGGTTTTCGGTTATAGGTGTCTTTGGACCACTGCTCATGCACATTTCATGGAATCACTGTCTGAACAATGTTGAGGTCAGATGGAGAGTATTAGGTAAGACAGGCAAGTTGACTGATAAGGTTGTGAACCTTCATTGACTGAGGTGACTTGGACATGTACTGCACATGTCGAGCGACTGCCTACCTAGACGTACCATGTCAGGGTGAGTTGAATTAGGTTGGAAGAGAGTTTAGGGTGACTAGACCAAGATGTGGCACCAGGTAATGGTAGTCACTGACCGTTAGTCTGAGTCATGTAGGGAAATGTGGACTACCTGACTGGAGTTTTGGAGATGACAGGAATCAGTGGTTGACAGCTCTTAGTGACATGGTGAAAATCGGTCACTGTGGAGCTGAAGTATACACTCCTTGACGTCATGTAAAGCATGAATATTTTCACTAACCATTATCTTCAAACTCTTTATTCTCCCACACAACTTTGTCTATTTTGATATCACTCTTTTTCTATCTACCTGTTATCATATGCTACTCTGAAGTGGGGCAACGCATTTGTGCGCGAGGTTCTACGTTGATTTTGTCTGTCTGTCTGCCTGTATAAATTGAGGCAACATAACTACTGATGGGATTCGAAGTAGAACTAAGCAGTTGTTTAGGAGTCCGTGTTTTCTACTAGTCCTCTGATTAATGTACGTACAATATGAGAATCACGTTCGAATATTTAACTGTCTGACTTCCAGTTTGGAGGACAAAACTGCAACGTAAAACTTTAATAAGATGAACGGGAATTATTTCATATAACGGGATATCTACTTAGCTGGGGAGAATAGTACTTCATGTGACACCTCCAAAAAAAGACACTTCTATCATCATCAATTAAACTTGCACAATTACATTAACTGAACAGTGTTAACTTAACGGAACATAACAAGAAAAAAACCGACCGCAACAGAAGTGAGCAGAGAAGAAAAGTAGCTTTTATTCACAAGAAAAAACAGAGTAAAGTACATTTTTACACATGGATAGTGTTGACAATGTCTATATCATGCGGGCCTCTTCGCGTGCAGAGTTACGTGGGTCAGATGTAGGCGGTGGTGGACCGAGCGGACGACGACCGGAAGACCAACCACCTAAGGAGCCTGGAGTGTATTCAACGATAGCACAATCCACATAATCTCCAATCTGAAAGTACACACACACACACATAGATGATAAAGTTAATCAAGAGACACAAAACCATAATCTCCCAATAAATGTCTTACATTTTATAACTGATTTCACTGAAGCTGTAACATGATATTAAACTAGCCATCTGGGGAAGAATACAGTCTTCGGAATGTCTAATATGGATCAGCAACCTCGAGAGAACTGATATCCCCTGTGAGGTTCGAAACTGAGCCATCCAGTGTTGCATAGTGGACATCATTAGTGAATAAGACTCTCTTTACAACTATTCTGGATGAAAATACTCTATAGGTTATCACATAATTATGTGAATGCAAACAGACAGCCATCGTGAACATGACACAGTTATTCAATATCTTGATTGACGGATTTAAACACAGGTTCACATCAGAAAATATGACTACTGTGAACCGGTGTTAGGCGTTTGAAGTTGAATTGAAAAGGACTCAGCAAGCTTGTGCATATTCGTCCAGTAGACAAGGAGATACACCTACTGTGTGAAAGCTAATGATAGTACCTGGCTATCCAAACTTCAATATGTGGGGTGGGGTTCGAAACCGTGACCGATTGGTCGAAGGACATCCCCCTAAACCAATAAGTCACAACTGATAAGCATACATGTGTGTGGAGACTTGATCGATACACGCTTGGTCAGATGTATAATTTACTTGGTTCTTTCGAATATTCTGGTTACCGAGTAACAACTCAAGCATCAAATGATTATTGGCCTTCAAACTTAAGAAAGTATATTCACAAAGGGATTTCCCCAACTTGCCTATAAATAAAAGTGAAATTACACATGATGGCTAGGTTATATTCAACTTTGTTCAGCAATCAAGTATCCTTCTGCAAAGTAGTACACGATTTTGAGGTTTACAGCAGGCAGGATGTGATTCCATTTTAGTTTATTCACAGACTAGTACACTAAGTGAGAGAGTATTATTTACTCAATAAACTTAGTTTATATCCCACAGTCACGGATTCGAACTCCATTCCATCTACCGAGGTTTTGGTAGCTAAGTACTTTCATTAGCCCTCATGCAACGGGTGTGGTTCATTGCCTACTGCACGAATGTGAACATGGTTGCTGAGTGGTTTTCGAGTCAAAATCATGGAGTTGCCTTGATGTAATTATGGACAATCAATTATGTTTTAAAGTTTATCCAGTAAATGATACTGTTTCGCTGTGTGATACACATAACAAACGAATAAAACAGGAATCCACTCATTTCAACTGCCTTTTTAAAAATCGATCAGTATATCAGTTCAGCTATGTTAATATGAGTGAGGAAGTTCACACTTTTAAGAAAATATACTAAACAGGTTAATCAACTTACTTGGAATTTTTTAGATAGAAGAGTAACTGCTGAATCATCAATCAAGTTAAAAGGTTTGTGTGTTTTAGCATTATTATCGTTGTTGTCTTTCATCTCATCAGTAGGCTTCTCTTCAAAATTATCGCCAGAATTTGGTCCATAGCCTGTGATAACAACGCCGAGTTGACGACGTCCATATGTACCACGACTATCTGGATAGACTACAGCAAAATGCATACGTGTTCCTCGACGTCTAGCTACACGGACAACATTACGAACTTCTTCAGCCAATTCAGCAAGGCTTGCATCAATCCTGAAGGTTAAAACGAAAGTGATACATATATGTATTATATATCACTGATGAACTCAAAGAAGTATTTCAACGAAGAGTCGCTTTCAGCGATTTCATTTTCATAACTGAATCATCACAGATTTATACAGTTTTCTAGTGTAAAGATTTGATAGGTAAAAAACGGTTTATCAAACATGGAAATATAAATAGTGTCAATAAATGAGCTATCATTAAAATCGAAAAACCAAAAACTGATGAGTGGTGAATATTGATCAAAATACGTTTTGACAAGAAATTTCTTAGTGGTATGATGACATAATTGGAAACTGAATTGTGGTCAAGTAGAGCACAGCAACAAGGATGAATAGCAAATTACTTAAGGAGTGAATAATGTTAAAACAGAAAGATGGAAAGAAAAGAGTAGGAGGTGGATGATATTTCAAAGAGTGAAAACTGAGAAGAAGGGTTTGAACAATCTTCTTTTGCGTATACAGTTGACGTTCCTCCATATAGATGGCAAGAGCTTCGGCAATGCAGAGAATACGAAAACTTACAGCCTTTGGGAGGTTTCTTCTCACTTCATAGATGACTTGGAACGAGAAGGTTCTTTAGACAGCTTGGTTCGAGTTCATGATGTGATCACTTATAGTATTCCTAATCGCTCCATTGTTACCGCTTTGCAACCAAGCGGGATACTATTCTTGAACCTTTTTGGATAACAGTCACATCGAACGACCTATATACCTGGCTCTACAAGAGCAGGCGAATTGATATATGCACATAGAAGTGGTCAGATGTGAAAGTCTCTCTTTCGAGTTGTCAGAATGCGTTAGCGACAAGAGAATACTAGCCTCAGAGTTGATGCAAAGAATGTTCTCCTAAAAGCGTTTGTTATCCTCCTTTTTAGTGTCATTGGTAGAATCAGCTTTGAAGTTCAGATTGATATAGAGTGTCTTCTTAAGTAATTTGCTATTCATCCTTGTTGCTGTGCTCTACTTGACCACAATTCAGTTTCCAATTATGTCATCATACCACTAAGAAATTTCTTGTCAAAACGTATTTTGATCAATATTCACCACTCATCAGTTTTTGGTTTTTCGATTTTAATGATAGCTCATTTATTGACACTATTTATATTTCCATGTTTGATAAACCGTTTTTTACCTATCAAATCTTTACACTAGAAAACTGTATAAATCTGTGATGATTCAGTTATGAAAATGAAATCGCTGAAACATACTTGTTCTTCTATCAGAACTCAAGGAAGACAATCCAAATTTTAACATTACAAAATTTGTAGATAGGCTTTATTATCGATTGGAATCGGTTCAAGAAATTAGCGTGTCGAAATAAATAAATAAAGTATTACACACCTATTTCATTTCAATGATGTAGAGTGCATCAGTAGCTTGCACTGGACAAAGATGATCTGGCTTCTATAAAAACCCTATATTTTATGCAATCAAACAAAATGATAATCAATGAATGAAACATTGAATGATTACCAGACTATGGTGGTAGACTAACTAGAAATTGGGAAATCTCATATTTCTGTGAGATTCACAGGTTTTAAACGAAAAAATTCTTCCATAAGGGTTATTACAAAACATACTAGAAAGCAATAATGAGTAAAAGTTTAAATATACCATCGAAAAGTATAGTAAAATAACATACCATGTATTGATTTGTATTTCATTTTCTGGTGTCCGACCTTTATCGTAATCTGACAAAGAATAGTGACGTGCATTTGTAGAATAAAAGATACGCAGTAGGATAGGACAAGTGTTTTCTCGATCAATACCACTCGGTGGAGGCATAGAACGACTTTGAAATAGAACAGGTCGTGGAATTGGCTTTTTTGATCGTTCATTTTTTGAACGTCTTTTATCATTACTTGGTCGAGAATGATCATCAGATCTTGATTTTGAGTATTTCTCTGGATACTCTACTGGTTCGGGATCTTGTAAAGGACGACGTACAATGATACGTCTAGTCTCTTCACTGGGTGGTCTTTCAATTGTACCATTGCGACTTTCAGTTGAAGCAAGATGTACAGATGAAAATATGGCTGGAGAACGACTTCTACTTCGAGTCGTACGATTGATATGCCTTGAAGAGGAGCCCATTTTCCGATCATCAACCCGACGTACATCATCGTCATCATCGACTGGAAGTGGTGCTTTTTGCCATCTAGATAATGGTGAAACTGGTCTAACAAGACTTCGAAGATTGGTATTACGTCCGTTTTCCATCGAAAATAATATTCTGTTTAAGTAAAAGGATGTACTCGATTATTGTGTTAAGGATAAGTTGACTTTGCAAACCAAAGCAGTGTAACCGATATTATTATTATTAATAATAATAGTAATAATAATAATAAAAGATATGTTTGATATAATACGACAGGATAGTTTCAATACACCCTCATTAATTCAATTTCTCTCCACAAACTATCTCGCCTCTAGATACTTTGTTTTATAAAAAACTGAAACTCTTTGGATAACGTACATACAAACATGCAGTTCTTGCTTTCATTGGTAAGTTAATATACATAGAATGATTGTGGATGACAGGGTTGACGGCTACTTTTATATTCTAAGGTAAACCTCATCGGAAACACTAACGTTTGTCACGCCAAAGAAACAATGTGGTGCAGTGGTTTAAGGAGACAGCTCTCAACCAATGGGTCACGGGGTCGGAGCCCCGCTCCACCTACCAAGGTGAACTTTAGGCAGCCAGGTAGTATTACTGGCTCCCACATAATAGGTAGGGCTTATTGTCTACTGTATGAATGTGCACAAGGTTACTGAGCGTATTTCGATTTCGAAAATCTCACATAACAGTGCATCGCTTCACATAGTCTATAAAGAAATAATAAAATCCACCTTCTAGATTCTATTCTTAGGTGCTACTTATGTTTCTATCATTAAGGACTACGAAGGCTAGATGACATTTATCTGCCCATACACTATGAGTAAATAGTGTAAGCAATAGCATCAGTTAGACAATTCCATACTCTTTAATCCACTAAATTGTAGTCTGTCAGTGTTTCAGTGTTATCAATTAAAATGTATTGAGGAATTCAAAAATTAAAATGAACATTCACACACTGACTTAAGTATATATCACAACAAGAAGGAATACTTTTACACAGAATTAAAGCCAATAAAAATCTAAATATAGAGAGAGAAGAGACTTACCCTAAAGTCGGAAAAACAACATTACACTGTTGTTTTCATGGCAAGTGACTAATTTGAGGTTTTAATAAGTCAATAATATTTTCACACGTACAACTAAGTGTTTTAAATATATGATAAAATGCGCTACATTGTTACAGTCAAATTGCAATAGAAAGTATTACGCGTTGAAAAGTGCTAACTAGTTAAATAGAATTAAACAATTCAACATTTGATGCATCTGTCCCACAGTTCAGATGGCAGACGGACAGTATCAATGAAGAACTTCGCATATAAGTGTATTCCTTCAAGTTGACACGCTTCAAAGTAGTATACAATTAACAAGTGAATAGAAAAAGAATGATATCAAAGTAGACAAAGTTGTTTGAGACAGCAAACAATTTTACATTAAAGGTTAGTATAAATATTCAATTATTCATCAAATAATCAGACGTCAAGGAGCGAATACATCTGCATCATTGTGACCTATTTTCATCATGTCACTAAGAGCTGTCAACCACTGATTCCTGTCATCTCCAAGACTCCAGTCAAGTAGTCCACATTTCCCTACATGACTCAGACTAACAGTCAGTGACTACCATTACTGGTGCCACGTCTTGATCTAGTCACTCTAAACTCTCTTCCAACCTAATTCAACTCACCCTGGCATGGTACGTCTAGGTAGGCAGTCGCTCGACATGTGCAGTACATGTCCAAGTCACCTCAGTCAATGAAGGTTCACAACCTTATCAGTCAACTTGCCTGTCTTACCTAATACTCTCCATCTGACCTCAACATTGTTCAGACAGTGATTCCACGAAATGTGCGTGAGCAGTGGTCCAAAGACACCTATAACCGAAAACCTGTTACCAATTCACGTTTTCTACTTTTAACGACTATGTCTCACAGCGGTATAGCAGGATATAACAGACTACAGCGCAGTATACTCGTCCTTTGACAGATGGTCAGATATCTCGCCAATGGTTGCTTGTTGTGTCCGAGCTGAGATTTCGCCAGTAAGCAGCCCGTCCGAGATGATGCAGCAGTATGCATGTGAGACGAAATGGCTCTACCATACTCCTCAGTTTAGGCAGTACTTATATAATATTGCTGAAAAAGATAAAAACCTACCCAAGTGACAAATAGTTTTCGATAACATAGTGAAACCTCAAAAAGTAACAAGTAATCCAACAGAAACATGACGTTCACTAAAGCAAAAACAAACGAAATAAAAACACCTGTATTGTCGATAGACACACTATTACAACCATAAGCACATATGTACATGAATATGTAGAATTTCTGAACCATGAGGTTAAGTTTTTGCATTTATAGACGGCTCATTGGTGACATCATAAAAGGGAATAAGATCCTCGGTTGGATATGTACGGCAGATAACTGACACACGGCGTCCACGATGTAAATTATACATACTAACTGGTTGTTCATCTCGCATACGCGTCACTTTTTCATTAGACAAGACAGCATGCGTGAACAGATAACGCAGAGCACGACGCATAACATACACTGATCGTCTAGGAATAAGAATATCTATCCATGAACCGATTGGTGGAAGATTCAAAGAACGCAGGTAACCGTCTTGATCATGTGGAATGCCAGCAACTTCACTCTGTGGGGCAACAGCTAACCGTAGGATACAGTCGGCTAATAAACTGACTACAGTAACTGAATCTCCACAGAACTGAAAACAAAAATAGGATAAAACTTAAGTGAATTAACTTGGATTCTTAAACAGTTGATTAACTGGGATTTTAATTCATGAAATAAACGGTGAATAGAATTCTTGAGACAGATAGACTGAAGTGTGTAGTGTGAAACTTATAGCTGAAAACAAAGTGATGAGGCTACTAAAGAAGGGGCATTTCAGTCTAGTGAAACTGCATATTGTCAAAGTTTTGATACATACATTAATGACCATCGAACAAAATGATGAGGTTGAGAGTTCATCCTGAGATGTCATTAGTGATGCAAACCTGATAACGAAGGTTGAAAATAAGCTTCTCAACCTACAGTTATCGACTGGTAGAGACTTAGTCCCAGAATAATACAGATACAGGACATCCGTTTCGTCCCACTTTTCACCAATTCTCCGACTGATGCTAGTCGGTCATGAAACTGTTTCGAAATCAATCAGTCCCCATAAACCATCAGCTGAATTACTTATTGGTCATACTTTTTAAATGGTAATAAAACTAATCATGTCAACATGAAAATAAAGCTCCGGTAAATGTAATGAAAATATCAAGACTTGATATTTCAAAAAATTCCTCATTCACAACAACTATTCACTAATGACTTGGTTGTATGCAAGAAAATGAGGTTATGAAAAAGGTATAGCTGTCTCGGATTTTTTCGCTTTCAAAATTAAGGCGACAGTCACTATATTTTTGGTATTCATATAAAAAAATGGATTCCCACTTTAAAGACCTGAGTAGAGTTTTAAATTCAAGAATTCAGTTTAAGCTATGATTAAATCGTGTGTGTGCATCCATTGTTCAAAGCGCTTACACCTGCAAACAGCACACAGAGTATAAGGCAAATATATTTTAGAAAATGTCGAGTGTGTTAACTAGTGGCATTTCAATTTAGTTGATAATATTAGACCAATTAATCAAAACACAGTACTAAGAAAAAGAGCATGAGATAGGTGATTCTTTAACAACGTTAAACTATGATAATTTGGTTGGTTGTGGCTAGCAGAAGAATCCAGGACGCGCATTAAACTATTCCCAAATCATCAATGAGACTGTGTGAGATAGCTGTGGTTTAGCAGACTGACATTATTGATAAGAAAAGATGACCGACGGTTAAACGACAGCCTGGGTTGCGGTAGGATTTGAACCACTGGCCTACGGATTCCCAGTCCCATTGCTCTATCAACTGGGCTATGAGACCCTGCTGTTGCTAAATAATGCTGTTGCAGATATTCTTGTCAATAATCCCATATAACGTTCCCCTATTCGAATTCAGCTAGATTTCGACTCAGACGAGATCCGGCTGGGCAGCCAGAGTGATTAAAATGAACGGAAAGTTATATATCATGGATTCACATGGCAGTAGGGCGAAATTCCTTGGTGAACTAGGTGCAATCAAAACTTGGTCAGCAAGTAGGTTTCGTAGCTAGGATGATGGAGCACCTAACTGGTAACACGAAGCTCCTGGTTCGAATCTTGCCACGGCCCAGATTTTCATTTCACTTCCAATCGTTACTCCATATTCTCAGATCACTTATGCTTAAGCTTAAACCACAATTCGAAATATGAAACATAGGTGTATGGAGTGGCTCACCTTTACACTATCGACATGTGGCATTATTTCTCCGCTTTCAGATAAGTCCAAAATATGAATTAATGGAAGGACTGACTGATTAATATTTTCACCAGCATTTTTAATAAGCAGACTGTCAGCAGCTAATGCCTTTAATCGACTGATAACAGGTTGGTTGATGCTTCGCCAACTTTTACGTTCCAATTCTCGAAAATCTTTGATGGCCTGAAGTGAGAAAGAGAGAGAGAGAAAAAAAAAACAGTACGTCATCTCTGCATTGGGAAACATCTTGTACAAACCTTACTAGCTGATCATAATAACAAGATGTAAACCATGAATTTAGTTGGCTTACATATCACAATGATCCACAGGCTATACAGCTGGAACAGTTATTCTCTTGAAGTACTACCATACCAGAGAGATTATCGCCATGGTGCAAAATGCTACACTATACTGGCAGCGCAAGGAAGTCTTACTGTTGATTAGACAGGGGTGTGATAGCAATAAGGTATTTCCTGCAGGACGAGCAGCAGTACCATGCTGCCACTCTTAACTGCTTCTTTACTCATTTCTCCATCTTTTATCATGGTGCCTTCTAGTTTGACGTGCTGGTATGAGGTGTGGTAACTTGGACCATTACTCGGTAATGATGGGTCCTATGTTGATATTGACTGAGTGGTGACAGTGTAGTGGGCGTCGCTGATAAGAATGGATATAAGTAGTATATGTTGAGAGTGTGACAGAAATCATAGGGAATTGACAGCAATGGGTAAGGATTCTTCCAAGAGAAACACAGAAGACAAGGCAGGAGTATGAAGAGCAAATCAAAAAAGAAGCAGAAGAGGAAATGAAGCATATTTTGCAAATGACGGTTTTAGTGTAAGGTGTATCATAATTTAACGACTACTGTCCCACTTGTTGACAATAGACATTCCTTCCTGCATACCAGTCTTTTGCTTCTCTCAACAGTATCTGTGATTACTTAAACCAGTTTGTGTGGAATTGGGGTTCATTGTTTTGCAGAGCTGACTTTCAACCAGTGGGTCATGGGTTGAAACATCGCTTCACCTACCAAAGTTTGAACACTCAGGCAGTATTATTAGCCCTCACGCAATAAGTGTGGCTTATTGCCTGCTGTACAAGTGTGCAAAAGGTTTCTGAGTGGGTTTTTTTGAACTAATTTGTGAGAGAGTTGAAAAACACCTATATGATGATACATTTCTGGTAAATGCGACATCGACGTACGGCCTGTGGCAACAAGGCATAGACGATGAAAAAGTTACACAACTTATTACAAGCTTGACTTCTTTGAAAAGTCACTCAATGAAGTCTTATTCGACAATAAAAATTCAATTTGATTTTCCAAAACATTTAATTACAAACAGTTATTTGAGAGCTAACTTAAAAAGATTCAGCTATTTAAAAATAACTCGAAAAGGAGTATTTCACTCTTAGAACTCAGTTTCCTACGATAAAGTATATTTCATTGATACAGAAGAGTACGCGAAATGAAACTATGATGCAGTGGTTTAAATGCCTGCTGCCTATCATTGGGTCATAGGTTGAAAAAATCGATTCCGCATTCTTCGGTCAAGGCAACAGAATCAACATGAAATGTTATTTATAGTCTGATGCAAAATTGTACAGTATCACTGATAGCGTTTGTGTATAGCCTTGGAAAACACAACTATATGCGCAAAACAGCCAGTTGTGATTTCATAGAAAGTGATTATGGATGAAACAATTTAGTTGGAGCAGCTGGAAAGGAATGAAAATAGGTGACTATGTTAGTTGAGAATAGTGTTTATTGATCACTTGATTGACAATCAAAATATGTTTAGCAACCAAGTGAACTCTCGTACAGTGGGCGACGAGCTACATCTATTGTGTGAAGGTTAATGTTACTACTTGGATCCGAGACCTCGGTATGTGGAGCGGTGTTCGAACCCGTGATCCGACGGTTAGAAGTCAAGTACCTAGACCAATGACCCATAGAATCCTTGATGATACTGCCCGTTTAAAAACACATCACTTTTGTTACAATTCATAAAGTTAGTGTTAGGATATTGCCCAGATTTCTCCAAAATTGGTTTTTCATAGGTATTGTACTTTTAGACATATCCTTTAGTAAGAAATAAGAATGTCGACAAGAATAGCCCAAACTGGTTGGTAAGACGAGAAAATGCGACTATATTGCCATAGAAACCGTTAATTACATTAGACTAGTGTGAAAATGTTAAATAATTGGCGAAATATTTCTTGAAAGGTCCCATAGTGTTTTCAATTACCATATTTTGTACTTTCCCTGTTGGTAGATTTCAGGGATTTGTGCTCGGGTCATTTGCACATAACAGTCATGTGTACTGCACAATATTCCTGTCTGTTCTCCTGTATGTTTATGAAACATGGCCATTGAAAGTGGAAGACATGAGAAGGATAGCTTCAGGTGTTTGACCACCGTCGCCTTCGTAGTATAGGCTGTATTCCGTGGTGTCACCACCTGCGTAACGTAGAAGTCAGGTGTAGAGTTTTAGGGAGAAGAGGTAAGTCAGTTGACGAGGTTATGAACCTTCATGGACTGAGATGGTTGAGACACGTGTTATGTATGCCTGGTTACCGATTACCTCGTCACACAATGTTGGCTGAAGTAGGTCCAAGCTGGAAAAAGGCTCGAGGTGGCCAGACTAAAACATGGCATCAATGTATGAAGTCTGTGACTGTTGGTTCGAGCCATGTAGGGCGATGCAGACTAGTCGGTTGGGGTCTACGGGACGAGAGGAACCTGTGGTTGGGGACTCTAGGTGATATGACTGAGAACCGATGTCAGTGGCTCAGATGTATACACACACTATCCTCATCTTAACGACTCTATACCAAATCACACCATTTTCTCATTCTTCCTTTCTCTTTTCGTACTTTATACTTCTTTTGACTGGATTTTCTTATCTTCATCTTGCAGTTAACTGTCTTTTTACATGATGTACTGATATGAGCTGGGGCAACTCGGACCGTTACGCAGTAATGCCTAGTCCTATGTTGATTTGGATGCATGGATGGACATTTGCTTGTATTGCACTATTTTTGATTAAGTCTACGGTCTACTCAAAACTTGCACCTGACATACTATAATGTTGCATTGAACTCTAATGTGGACGACAACCCGAACACTGCTATACTATCGACAATTATAATCAGTAAATTTCTATAGACCACAGGGCAATTAGTCTGACGAATGAAGTGTCAAGGATTCTAGGCTTAATTATCATTGGATGTTTAAGTTGATCTCGGGAACAGCAAACCTGTGAAAGCCAGACAGACTTCAGATCTAATGTTGAGTGCATTGACTAGACATTTACCCTTCGCCAGGCTCTGGAACACTTACCGATGACCGGCACTGGCTGCATTTCTCGATCTGGAAGTGACATTCGATTCCGTCATTTGACAGGTCCTGTGTTAGCGTATCTCAATGAAAGATGTGCCGAGTGAGTATATCACTCCTTTGGACGCTGTTTACTTAAACACCCGTTAAAGTACTTAAATCTAGGGTGAATTATCAAGTGAGTTGTGTACGTCGAATGGTATCCATCAAAGACGCACACTTTTTCCCTTCTTATTCAGCTGTATCATCTTATCACTTATAATATAAGTGTGTATGGAGGTTTCCCTCTCGCTATGTGACTTCATATGGATTGACCCTATCATAGGATGATCCTTGGTAGATCTGGAGTATGCAGAAGACACTGACACCGATTCTCTCCAACGATGGTTTATAGTAATATGATCTACGTGTTCGTCGTTGGTTTGATATCAGTGGATGCCATGTGAAACAATGTCTCTCCTTATGCTTGAAGTTAATGATGGCTAGAAAAAAGTGACTGTCGAAACAAAATCGCAGCAGACGATTAAGGTTATCGGTTAACTGACATGGAACTCCGTTAATGCTCCAGAATGCCTTACCGATCGGCTCAGCTTCCTTACTTGAGCGTTGAAATCACGTATAATGACTATATCTGAACGCCTTATTTTTTGAAGCAAAGTTGACAGCTTCTTAAAGAATTCATCTTTTGCATCATCCAAACTGCAATCTGTGGGCCCGTAGGCGGAGATTACAAATATGCGTCGGTTGGTCTCACGATTCTACCTAGTTCTTACAGATCCATATAGTCAGACAGCAAACAGATGAATGTTGTCGAGAAGTGTAAGTCCAATAGAGCTAGCCACTGGGTCCTCAGATACTTGTGACATGAATTTTGAAGATTCACCACCCTGGTGAGGTGAATAACCACTTTCGGGCCCTGTATACATGTTTTGGAGACAGTGTACACCCATGGCTTTAGATTCCAGTTCTGGTGAGCGATGCTTGCTGTCCGACTTGGAATAAAGTTTGAACGTTGAAAGGTCTTGCATGAAATCGATAGCGGGGTCTCGGGAGACTAGGAATGAAGTTTCGATGACTTTGACAGTTCACGATGATCCTAGAATGAGAGGTTGGGGAAGGTGTAAGAGACTTAATATCAGTATCACTGAAGGTAGTGCGGGAGATGGAAATGAAAAGGCTAGGTTATGTTTGGTTGGGTCTTTTATGCTGCTGGAAGTATGTGGACGGTTGGCTATTTCTGGTCACCCGCACTGTAGAAGGCTATTTCTCCTTAAGAAAAAAACATTTGACTGATCGCAGAGCCTATGACACATGCGCTTGAAGCCTATCACGCAGCCTTTTGAGGGTTGCTGGTGTGAGATCTGATTGTTCTAACGCAGGATAGAGAAAACAGATGCTATCGGCACTAGAAGACTGTGGGACAAGAAAGGGTGCGCTACTTTGGGGCGGACCTTTTCTAACTCCCCGCCTATAGGGGAAGTGGCATCAGCGTATCACTGTAGGTCATCTAAGAGAAACACCTTACTGCTATACACCATGTTCAGCCAGCAATAGGACTTCGTTCGCCGACCCCCACTACAGTGTACTAAGTTACGCTACAACAGTAACTGCTTTGTTTCCTACCCCTATCCAACAGACCTTTCTGATGTGATAGGACCTCTGAGAGACAAATGTCCCAGCCAGTGTAGCTCGTTGGGTCATTGTGATACACAAGCCCGACCACAACGTTAAAGTAGCAGCTATCTGTCGAGAATATATGACAGAGCAGAAAAGTAAAGTAACCATATACGGATGCTTAAAATTTTAATCATGAAGTGCATACATCTGCACTGTTGTGACCAATTTTGAAACAGTTGACAAGAGTGGATTTCTACCACCTTAAAATCCCTAGTTTGACATCTGACACTCGTCATGGCACATACCGACAGTCAGGAAATATGAAGACTGAGGCTTTCTTGGTTTCATAACCCTTAGCTTCCTTCCAACCAAGTTCTATCTCAAAACGACAATAGTAGAGCAAAAGCTATTTAAAATGCGTAATCTATTCACACGATATTTCAAATAATAAGACGTGTTAGAAAATAAAAGTTAAAAAAATAAGTGAGGGTCAAACTACACATCGAAAGATGTGTAGATAACTCTTGGTATTTAGGTTGAGTTATCAAGGTTCAGTGTAATAAGTGTTATGTGATTACGATAGAGATTTGGGTTTCTTTTTGGTCGGAACTAATACAGGCTTTTTAAACAGGTTTAGAATGTGTGCAACCCAGTTGTTGTGCCATATATGAGGTCCGAAATCCATTTCTTTGACCTAGTCATTTGACTGGGTTTTGGGTAACCACTTTGGAATGTGATAAGTAATCCTGTTTCTACTTCGGTTTGGGCAGCCAAGTAGTATCAAAAGCCCCTACACAAATTTGGCTCATGGCCCAGTATACATGTACCGGCTTGAGTCACTCAATTACACTTACTTAAGTGGATCAATGGGTCCTTCTATCACCAGGTAGAGCAAGATTCCAACTCGTGACCAGCTAGTCAAAAGTTCAACGCTAGGGCTAATGAATTACAGCTCTGCTTTTGCAGCAAAAACAGGCTCATTATCAGCATACTATATGGAAAATTGACCTAAAGTACTTCCATCATCAGTTCTAGGGACGATTATTCATACAACAGTATATAAATGCCTACTTCTTATACACTTGTCAACTGAGCAAGAATCAACCAAAGTGAGTGCAGTTACGTTAACGTTTGGGAATGAGAGTGAATTATGCTTGTATTTTAAAAGCTCATGGTAGCATATATTTATTCAAGAGTCAGTATGTGGGAGTGAGTCTAAACTCGCCATGTAGACGTTAGACTCGAACACCTATCCAAGTGCTAGTATTCTAGCGACTTTGAAGATGGGGCTCCTGATACACACTAGGTAGTGCAGTGCACTATACAAATATCCACGATTTATCGGGAACGTGGTCAGGATGCGACAGCCAATGGAAGAATTAACCAAAAATATAGAATTGAAAAAATATAAAAAATTGGTTTGTCTTTTTCAACTGCAATGCTAAGCAGTCTCCATTTGGATTTAGTTCTTAATTCTCTTAAGGCTGAAAATGTGTCTTATTAGTATGAATAAAGTCATGCGTTCACAGTTGTGCTGGTGATCTGAAATTCAAACAAATGTTGGATCGATAAATATAGACACACAAAATTCAAGAACACTGCAGTTAGAATGTCCCAGAGTTGACGACAAGTGAGGTAGAAATTAGCACACGAATACGCTCATGTAAAGCTAAGCCAATAATTTTAAAATATTCCGGTGACATTTTATCAGGCCTGACGCATGGTGAGAACGACATAGTGTTCTCCAATGACATCCACATCTGTTCTCTTTAGCCTGTTGATTCATACTTATTCGAGCTCCTACAGAGCTGTCACTAAGATCATTTGTGACGTACAGCAAACTGGACACGTATGCAACGTACGTCACTAAATTTTCAGCCTATTAGCACATGGATGATAAATTTTGGGTCGACAAGTGGGCTAGGGTGTTTGAACTCGATTATATATATATGAGACAGATGCAATCGCATTTCAGCCGGCAAAACTTTGGGCCTACTTTGGAAGTTCTAGATTAAACCTAATGGAAAATTTTGGGTGCATTGCAGACAATCCATTTCCATCCCCAAAGACGCTTAAATTCTCTCCAAAACATTACAAACTTGCCAAATATTTTACCCAAGAATCACAGAAATATCAAAGTCCACCTAAAATACACAGTATCTGCAGTCTACGCGGACTTCTCAAATTTTCTGCAGTGCACTTTTTGACATAATGCACACAGACTCCCGTAAAGCAGTGTATAAGACAAGTATTTGTAACTGCGGATGCTTAGTCGTAGAATAATAAATGTGCATAAGTTTAATGCCATCCTTAAGGCTGGGATTTTGTGAAATGCAATTAATTTCGAAGATGCACCCAAAAATTCCGTAGTATGACCAAATTTGATCTCGGGAATGACCCAAAAATCTTAAGCTGGACCCAGTGTTTGTTGGCTGGGATATACACAGTAACGTAAGCATAATCACTGCTAACTTTGCTTTAAACATCTACATTCTCAAAAACTTACATAATCCCAGTGTTTTGTTTGATATTTCCGCCTACATAGGACAGAATCTAGTTCACTGATTAAATTTGACTCTTCTTCTTCCGTTAGAAAGTTAGCTCTTAAAACCAAATCGTTGGTAGCAATTTTGATCAGATCAGGGTTTTTACAACATACGTTTGTAAGAGATGTGATCCCACTCGTCAAAAGTCTTTTTGAAGAAGAACGCATGCAGAACCAGCATCTTGATACTAACGCACCACACCGCACCGCAAAACTCATAACATCGCCTCCACATAAACAATATCCAATGCCAGGCATCGACCACCAATGGTGCAAGTAGAAGAAACTTTTAGCTTTCTTGGTCTCATATATAGGTCCTGATGTTTGACTGCTTTTGTTCGGTTATACTCCCTCGATGGTCTTTTCAGATTCTCCCTTTATAGATTAAGAGTTTGAAGGTTTTATTTTGTAGAGTAGTTTGTTTTGCAGAAGTTAAGTGGTCACTGGTGAGATCAACTAGCCTTTTGCCACTGCTGTCACTAGGGGTACGTATAAATACCAGTATCCATTTGACGAGTCCGTGTAAACCAGTCGATTTCTTCGTCCTCGCTTCTAGGCCTTGAGGAATGGTTTCAGGTCTTTGGCGGATTCCGATGCAGTAGATCCAGCCACTTGTCCGGCATAGCTCTGATATGACCAACAGGTGGTCGGGCGTCGGTTGGTTTGCCAGGGACTAGGGTGCATTCGGGTTCTTCAGACTTCGAGTTGCCAGACAGTTGTTCGGACTGGCAGAGTTGGGAATGGTGATGAGATAACCTAGGTGATAAATCTATGTAAGAGACCAAGAAGAGTGGAATGATGGAGCAATCTTTGTACACCCAGTTAAGATGAGAGGGGTGCAAAAATATGTAGAGCTTGGGTGAGTTTAAATCATAGCGAGTAAGTGGGATGGAAGTGACTTAAGTGGTTAGAGTAGAATGAAAATTGGTGTAGGGGTAACAGCGTTGGGATGGTGTGACGGCGGTTGACCTCTTCCGTCTAGTCCGAATTACGACTAGGTGAGCGTGAGCCATGTGTGACTGCTTATCTGTCTAGTCTCGACAGTTGGGGCGGAGACCACCTGTGATGGTAACGTAATTCAGTGCCCTCAGATTAGAGGGTAGAAGAAGTGTGAGCGCACACGAGCCTCTGACCTTCAGTGGATAGTTCTCTCTGAGTTTCCACCGGGGCCGCCATGGTGGTCGCTCGATACCATTCCTCTTTTTGAGTGACTCGGGTTACTTAGTATTTTACTAGCCATTACCAAACCACCTGATAGCCCTTGATAGCCAAGAGAGTATAGGCCTGGGTCTTTCAGTCTTCCCATGTAATGCTTTTGGCTTATCCCTCAAAACACCCTTTGTGACCCACTTGCGAACCTGCTCCAGGAGGTCTGTGCCCCTTTTCGGATGTGGCAGAGCGAAGACGTTAAGGACCTCCAATTGAGGTCGTGTGTGGGTCTCCTAGAGTTTCAAAGGGAGCTCCGGGATGAGGGCACCTAGTCGTTTACGCACAAAGTAAGGCACAGAGTGCGTTTTTGAGGCATCCCTTAGGTAACTGGAACTGGTATCCAGTTTCTCCATCACTAGTGAGCGCAGGTCTCCCTCTGAGGTGGTACGAGAGGTGCGAACCCCAAAGACAGTAGGATGCCTTCTGTGGATCAGGGGCGCAGGAAAACGTGGACCAGAGTTTATCCAGGTCAAATACTAATTCGCTATTTTTCAACTCCCCCGAAGTGTCTTGAGGTCGTTCTGCATTCGATTCCGTTTCGCGAGTTACCGCTGTCCGTCGCTTGACGTCATCAGCGTAGAGGAAAATTGGAGGGCTGATATGCCGCAGGAGGTCGTTAACGGGCAGTTAAAGCAACAAGGACCCCTGAACTGCTCATCGCCATACACCTGATGATGGTCCCCAAGTTGAATAGACCCTGTCGACTATGGTAAACAACTCACCGTCCAGGTGGCCCTGGGGCCAAGATGGTGTGGGGATGTGTCAAGAGCTTTGGTGGGGTCCGGAAAAATTGCGTGGCCCAGGACCTTGAGGTCTGAGCATGTTGTTCAGTTGTTACGGTCTGTCGGAGGGTTGGAGACACAGGACCTACCCCTTCGGAAGCCATCCATACTGAGCATCACTGAGCGCCTGCTTTGTGTCCAGGCATTTCCTAACGTGGCATTCTATCATGCTTTCATGACTTTTGATGTTACCGCCAAAAGTGCTACGGGCCAGTAACAGTTCGGATTCTTCCTACCTCCTCCTTTGCGGATAGGAGAGAGGATGGGGCGTCCCCAACCCTGTGGAAACTTTTTTCATCTAAGGAGTGTTGAAAAAGGTTGCGGAGTGGGCCACTTAGGATACTCTCAAATGGTTTCAATACAGATGGGTGAGTGTCGTCGCACCTGGAAATTTTTCCGCACTTCGTATTCGTAGTTTATCGAGAACAACAGCACAAGTTGTTATGGGAATAAAAATTGGCCACTGTGGCGGACTGTAATTCCATTTCGGCCCTTCTATTAGAAGTGTCACACAGTGAGACAGCATTCTCCACTGGATAATGTTTCGGACACAATTCGTTGTCCATGTTTATGTGAGATAACTAACTCCACAACTTTAGGACAGAGTTTATGCGGCCAATCTTCTCTTCTTCTCTGTGATGACAAGGGTGGCAGGATTTTCTTTCTAGCCTGGACAGGTGCAGAATCATTTCGATTGCATGTTTTTGGTATGAATTCAATAATTTAAGATTCGGGCGTCAATCTCTCCCTCCACCCCACTAAGTTCGTTTTTAACGCTACAGCTCTAGCCCACCCAACCGTATGATTGTATGTATATGCGCGCAGAGCCATGCCCGAGCTTTTCTGCAGATTTCTTATCTCGTTGGGATCGACCAATCTTGATGGAGCATCACATAGTTTACCAGTTCACCAGTTTACTAGCCGGCCCCAAACCCAGAAAAAGAGGGATGGCTGGACATGGGGCTGGCAACCACACCCAGTAAAATCGGTCCGATCGCTAAAGAAACTTCAAAGCACAATGAAAATATAAAAAACAAGAATAAACTTATTCCCCCCTGGAGTCGGGGAGGCGAAATGACGCCAGCTGGTGAAAACCTTCGAGAGGCCAATTGGCCAATGTGTCTTCTGTCGATGAAAGCAAAGGTAAGCATTGGGATATTGAGCGTCCACATAGCGTTTTAAGCTAGCAAGGCCACCTAGATTGAAAAAGAGATGAGAAGATATAGCGTCGAAGTGCTAGGAATCTGCGAAAGCAGATGGAATTGGAGTGAACCCTCCAAACTGTCAACTGGAGAGTCAATAATGCACTCTAATATTGTCACCCAGACGAAACCGCGAGCACACTGAGTTTTCGAGTGACTGGTACGATGTCTTCAAGATCATCGAAGGCTCGCTCTCATGCAATGAGAACCAATCTCCTCCTTCAGGATCACGCCAACAAGGTTCAACTCAAAAGAAAGGAGAGTTACAGTCATTCAGTGCTTCGCTATGCACCTACAAATGATCCAGATGAAGAGAAGAAGGAGGAATTCTGCGAACAACTACTATCACTAGTGGACAGGACCCCACTCTAGTTGGCGACATCGGAATTCTAATGCTGGACATGTATGCCAAAGTGGGAGCAGACAACACAGGAAGAGAAGGGTCGAGAGGCACCCCGTGAGATGAACGAGAGGGGAGAACTGTTTGCAGGCTTCTGCATATTCAACGATTTGGTGGTTGGAGGCAGTGTAGACAAACACAAGGTTATTCACAAGGCAGCGACATGGATTTCACCAGACATCAGGGCATGCTAAAAATCAGGTCGACTTCAACTCAATCTGAAGAGAGTGGAGACGCAGCCTATTTGACACAAGATCGAGGAGAGGAGCAGATGTGGGTGGTTCGGACCACTATCTAGTACAAAAAACCTTCAAAGTCGAGTTGAAAGCCCTCAAAGAAGTTGGTGATAGACCATGGCTCAAGTCCAACACCCAGAACAGAAACTGAAGGACGAAACTATAAATGACATCTTCACGTCAGTTAGTCATGAAAAAATGGGAGACATTAAGTAGCATCACCGAGGAGGAGACTTGCGTGGAAGAACACTGAGAATCTTTGAGATTGATGTGGAAGGAAACTTGTATAATCGCTTTGGGAAGGAAGAAGAAGCAAAACAAGGAGTGGATCTACAAAGATACATGAAAGCTGACAGAGGAGGGAGGGGAAGATGGTGAATCAGAGAATGGACCAGTGCAATGCAGGGATGAACAACGCGAAGGCGAACTGAGTGAAACCTATAAAACACTTCTGCGATACACTTGCAAGCGAAGCAGAACAAGCTGCAGGTAGAGAAGACAGAGACCTGACAGCACTGTATCAAGTAAACGGGTTACTTTCTGGGAACGGATCAATACACATGAAACCAATGACAGGTAGTGAAGGAAACTTAGTTACCAAAGAGGAGAAAGAAAGGAAACGACGGAGCGGCAACTTCAAAAAACTCTTGAATCGGCCACCATCACCACCCGCAACCCATCCAGAAATAATACCGGCGGTCCAGCCATAGAATTACCAGTGAACATAAGCCCTCCAACAAGGGCCGAAGTCCTAAACTCTGAAATCCGTGAAAGCAGCAGGACCAGATGAAATTCCGTCAGAAGTACAGAAAACAGACACAGAGACAGCGGCGGGCATGCTCACGTACCGATCAAATTGCAACGATACACTACACATCATCACAGAACAGAGCATAGAATGGCAGTCAACTCAGATCAACCTCAACTTCATCGATTTTGAAAAGGCCTTTGATAGTGTTGGCTGAGAGGTAATTTGGCAGGCGGCTGCTTCAACACTACGGTTTTAGTGCCACAAACCCTTATCAGCCTCATTCAACAACTGTGTGATAGTGATGATGATGACTCGCAATGGAAAGCTCAGTGATGCCTTCGAAGTGAAGATAGGGGACAGGAGCAAGACAAGGTTGCCCACAATCACAGATCATCTTCCTGATTGTGGCCAACTGGACAGGACTGGATCGTGCAAGAAACTGTGACGAGGGAGAAGATGGAGATGCGCTAGCTGGACCAATGATGAAACCCCAGAAGAAGATTTGGATTTCGCCGATGATGACTTATGTCTGATGTCGCACTAACTAAGTCTACAGGCAAAAACCAACAAGTTGGCAGACGAGGCGAGGCAGTAAAGATGTTACTTCAGGTGAACGTGGAGAAGATAGAAATGATGGAGATACCCAACCAACGACAACGACAACAA